TATGAATGCATAAATATATTTTGAGTGAAGACATGTGAACATAAGATACATTTCATATAATTTTACATATTTCATATAGTTTCCTATTTTCTTCTGAAGACATGTGAATGTGCATGCATTTATATAGTGCACTCTTACACACACACACACACACACACACACACACAGGGCCAGGAGCTAGGACTCGACCCCTGCAACCACAAACAGGTGAGTACATGTACACACACACACACACACACACACACACACACACCACACACACACACACACTGTGTGTGTGTGTGTGTCTTCAACTTCCAACTGTGTCCCCTTGTTACTGTGTCCAATCTCAGGATGTTCCAGAGATTGGACACAGTAACAAGGGGACACAGTTGGACGTTGAAGACACAGATGAATCACGGGGATGTTAGGAAGTATTTCTTCAGCCACAGAGTAGTCAGGAAGTGGAATAGTCTGGGAAGCGAAGTAGTGGAGGCAGGATCCATACATAGCTTTAAGCAGAAGTATGATAAAGCTCACGGTACAGGGAGAGTGACCTAGTGTCAACAAGTGAAGAGGCGGGGCCAGGAGCTTGGACTCGACCCCTGCAACCTCAACTAGGCGAGTACAACTAGGTGAGTACACGTACACACAGACACAGACACACACAGACACACACACAGACACAACACACACACACACACACAGACAACACACACAGCCACACACACACACACACACACACACACACACACACACACACACACACACACACACACACACACAATGTTCATACAAGTCTCAAAGAAGAAAGATGAATAATTGTATGAAAAGAAAGGCAAAAAACTGCACATGATACAACAGTAGACATGAATTTACTTGAGAAATAACTTATTATTAGAGAGCAGAGAGTTCTGGGAAAAAGAGGTAAGATGACGTGCAGTAGGAACAACTGTAGGGAAAATTATGGTGAAGAAGGTAACCTTAGTGGTTGAAATTCGTACAATTCAATGTTTAGCAATACACAAGAAAAGAACCTTTCAATATGCTAAGAAGACTACTTAAAATGAGGAAACCATTGTAAATGAACAATTAAATTTATCAGTCAAATTTCTTAATGTGATGACTTTATGAATCAATACACTAAAGCAACAAATTCTAGTGAGAGAAGGCAACACAATACAAGACCTAGTATTCACTAGAAAACTTCATGTCAAATAATGGAACCCAACTGGTAAAATCAAGCATGGTGTATTGGAGAAAATCTATTACAAGGTATAATGTGGGGGTCAAATTATTTTTTAGGCATACGAGTTTCTGTGCATTAACATCAGCACATTATAGCTTTCAGGTATCAACGATGAACATCTAAGAGCTTCCAACAAATGTGTGTGTTTAATCAGAATGAGTGTAGACAAGTGATTTTGGTAATTGATGTGCTGCTGGAATATGAGTAAGATATATACCAAGGGATTTAGAGAAATCAGTTAGCCATACTCAAGTTCTGGAGATGGGAAATCAAGAGCCTGCACTTTAAAAATTGTGGCGATGTTGCAATTCAACGTTACATATGAATTGTGATGTCTGTGCACTTCTAGCATGAATGAGTGTGGTTAATGTGTTTCCATATTACCACTCATACACACAGGTCTCCCTCCACATTTGCAAGGGTTAGGGAATCGTGGCCCACCACATTCACGAGGGTTAGAGGATCAAGACCCTCGTAATAATATACTAATAGCATTTACTCTGCCAAACAATACTGCTTCCTTGACCTGTTGAACCATGAACAATCATAAAACACATGAAAACATCGTAGATATTGTATATACACATTATGACTGGGTGGCTGGGCATTCACGAATGTTCGAAGCCCGAGAAAGTGGAACTCACGAATGTGGAGGGAGACCTGTATACTTTCCATGTATGGATGTCAGCTTCTACCCCATCAGGACCCCATGCAACCAGAAACTACTGTGCCTTCACTGAGGAGACACCTTAACCATCATACTGGACAGATATCCATTTAGTGCAGTGTGCAATTTTCTATGAGCAAATTAATATCACAATTCCTGAGAGAAACCTCAGTCATTCTAAAGTTTTCATTAATAAAATTAGGACTCTTAACCAGCATAACAACAAAATGTTAAGCCTTGATGTGGACTCATTAGTTACCAATGTGCCTGTCAATGTTGCACTAATAATCTTAGAAGAAAAATTGTTGCTTTTTCATGATAAATTGCAAATACTAGTTGCATAAATCATTACCATAACAATACCATGCACACTTTTATTGCCAAAAATATGGATGCACTATGAGAAATCTGCTTTTGCCTGTAGTATAGTATTTAAAACTTTGAAGAAAATGTACTCCCTAAGATCAAATCTAATGGAATGCACTAGTTCAGATATGTTGGCAATATTTTTACTATATGGAATGATGAATGAGCTTATTTGTAAAATTTAAAGTCATATGAGAAACCAAAATGAAGCTACCAATATTGGATATAACAACAAAAAGAATTATGTATCCCAGTCTAAGGGTGGTTAGGAAGTGAAACAATCTGGATGAGTAAGTGATGGAAACTGATTTCATACCTTGTTTTAGGAGAATTTACATGAAGGACAATGAGACCACAAAGTTTGACTAATTTTAAGTAACTGAAAGACTGGACTAGGAGCTGAGACTCGACCTTTGTAACACAATCAGGTGTGCTAAACATTGGAAATTTTTAAAATAAAAACAAAACTAAAAAACACAAACATACAAAAACTCACTCTCATTCATTCTCTCACACATACACATATGTGCACACACATAGCATTTAGGAACCTCATAGGTGCTACCCATTCCTGAGTATGCAGCATAGTGAGCAACCTTCACCTAGTAAAGCATAAATTTCAGAAAGTTTAAAGGAGTGCAGCTAGACTGGAATCTGAACTGAGGAGGCTGAGCTATGAAGAAAAAACAAGAAAGGACATGATCATTACAACCACAAAATAAAATACTCTGAGGCATAAACAAAGTAGACTAGGACAAGCTCACTCTCAGATATGTAACAAGACCAAGAGGACATGGATGACGTTACACACCCAATGAGCCACAGGGAGGTCAGAAAATATTTCTTCAACATTAGAGTGGCAAAATAAAATGAACTGAACAGTGACACAGGGTTTAAAAATTAGATTTGACAGGGCTTTTTCACTTAAAACAGTTGAAAATTAAGGTGAACCAGGAGTTAAGGCTAATGAAACTCCTCTCAAAAAAATTAAATATATAAACAGGTAATCATACACTGGAAGGTAAAAGACTAAGATGCCTAAAATAAATACTAGATAAAAAAAAAATCATACATATTATTCAATTCTGCTTCATTAATCATTAATACACAGACAATCATGATACATGCACTGATTGGAACTTATCCAAAGTAATAAATAAGAAATGTACCAACTATATCTTGAATGATAAAAATATTTGAGTAAGCATATAATCTGCTATACATTAAAAAAATGCAACGTTTTTAACAATTTATATATGTAACGAAATTTAATTTAAGAAAAGCTCTTTATGATACCTTGAATGTTCATACAATTTACTTCGCAAAATTATTATAAACGGAAGTATCAGAGCCTCAAATTTAGGGATAAATTCTCACACATTTTTTGACATCAAACCTAACCAAGAGGCTAGAAAGATCAACTGAAACCAAAGAATGGTATATGAAAGGTATACAACAATCTGTCAAAGAGAGGCAAGTGGTGAGGGAGTTTGAGAAGTTACCTCAAGTGAACTCCAAGATGGCAGTGATTACCTTGGAAGAGATTAAGGCTACTTAAAACTTATCAAAACTCTCTCTTGGAAGCCTCAAGAAAAAAAAAACACATTTAAAGTGTAATTACAGTTATACCTACAGTACAGTACCAAACTTAAGCATAGTAGCTTAATATATTAACACAAGTACTGCACAACAGATTCCTAGAGACACATTATATTTCAATATTAAGTTTAACCTACCATACTTTAACTTAATTTGAGATGTTACTCGAGTTTTCAATCTTATAAAAAATAAGGAAGTAACAATAACAAAGTGTTAAAGGAAGCAGAATATAGAGATAAAAGCAAGTAGAGATTAACAGGAATGACAACAATTAATTTTGCATATGAGCAGTAAAACCGATCTGTAATACAGTAAAAACATCAAAGAATAATTTTTAATATGTTTCACAGTGAGTCTGTAATATTGTTAATAATGTGATCTTAACTTCCATATAAAATGACAAAGACCTTTGAAGGGTACACAAAAGCACATTACTGATGTATTCAGCATAATAAAAAGAATAAGAGGGTCAAGAAAATTTCCTGATGTAAATGTCACATGAATATAGCAAATTTATAATTAATAGATAACATTATCTGAATATGACAAGAGATCAAACACCAAGTGACACCTAGGCATCCATAAAACAAATGAGATTTTTTTATACAAGGATGATTGCAAAATACTACTTTGTAAGTTTTCTGATATTTTCAATGCTTGGACAAGGAACTTGCAGAGAAAATTTTAGGAAACGTATGCCCGGTAAAGCAATATTAAGCATTTAAACAATCCATCTTATCTTAATCTTCATAATCTAATTCTTGTTAACAGTTCATAAACAATCAAAATTGTCTTTGTACTATCCAAAGTTCATAAATGATTACTGGATCTCACATGGATTGATAAATGTCCTAAAGGAAACCTAAAGAATCATTCTGTATGGGTTTTTATTCTACACAGTCACTACTATAGGACCTATTATTTTTATGAATTACCAGAAATGATTACTCCACTAACAATAAAACAGGATGTATGTATGGATGTATGTATGGATGTATGTATGGATGTATGTATGGATGTATGTATGGATGTATGTATGCATGTATGTACGGACATATGTATGTATAAACTAAAAATATTTCGTTCAGAGATTAACCCCTCCTTAACCAAAATTCAACAATAATTAACCTAAATAAATACTTCATGAACCTTGTTAAGTCGCTTGGTCTCCTCCTGTCGTTCACGAGCCTCATCAATTGAAGCAGGGGTTGGAACTCCCATGGGAAGAGACAACAGGTCATGCTCAAACATAATGATGTTCTCAGCTTCCACTGGAAGAAAATACAAGTATTGTAGATCATTTGTGACCAAAATGCAAAGGAATACTGAAACAGATGTTCATCCAGACCTCTTTTCAAATTTAACATTTTTATAAATGTACTATCAGCAAATCTTAAGTTTTTAATGTCATTAATGTTTATGAATTTAATCAAGCTGAAAATTTGGGGTAAATAAATGAATATTGTCCAGATAAACCCACTCTGAAATTTGTTAAAACAAATGCAGCAGTGTATAATAATAAAAAAATATTATAAAGTTCTAAATATGAAGTGGATAAAATATTCCAGCTCACATCAAATAAAATTTAACCTTTTTTTTAACACACTGGCCATTTCCCACTGAGGTAGGATGACCCCATATAAAAGGAAAAAACATTCACTGCAAATATATATTGCATGAGATAACTCATAGTTAAACCTACTTTTAATTCTGTTGATCTTGGATCCATAGGCCAAGTCTGCCTGATATGCCAAAACAAAGGTAAGAGGAAGAAGTGGAACCAGTGTACCAGGCTTCCGCGTGCGGCGAAACCTGAAAGGGTCGTGCACTGTAGTCACTGCTTTCAGAAGACAATTATTTTCAATAGTTTTAATATTTTTCAAATCTAAAATAAAAAGCATTTGTATGCTATTGTCAAACAATACTTAGCATACAAAACTAGATTTTAAGAGTACATCGAGCCCTCTAATTAACAAACCAATAAGGGAGCAGGTGTATAATATTGTTGATTGTCTGAAACTTCCCAATTATGAAATTAATTTTTCACTATAATCTTCTGAACCAGCTGACCTGGTCCGCTGGTTTGAACACAACCAGACACTAAGAATACCGGTATTGTACTACAGTATAATACTGTACTGCCTAGTAATTTCAAAGTACATACTGTATATAATTTACAGTAAATTTACTTACCCTGTCATAGTGAAGATGAAGTGTCACCTGTAGTGACTGATAGTAGTAGAGACTTGGAATAGCTTTCATTTTGAGTCAGAAGAGATGTAAAGCTCCACTAGCATCTACACTAAAGTGCCTAGTCTGTAATACTGTACTTGCTTCTACAAATATCAGACTGTTTCTTAACACCACATTCCTAATATGTATCCAAATGCCACTGAGACACCAAACTCAATCTTCCTTACTAGTTCAAGTTTCTAAAGATTAACAGTGGTACCACATGTTTCCTCCAGGCACATCACTTACTTTAGAAGACACTGTTAACTGCACTTAGTAGTTTAATAAAGTCACACAAAATGCTCTACATCCAGGAAAAATTGGAGACTGAATGACAAGTTTGTGTGAGCGCAAACTGTCAACTTACATGGGAGGCCTACTGTTCAGGGAACAGTGAAAAGAGATGGATGTGACTGCTCTGGCCCATACCAGACATACATTAGAATTATTGTACATGCTCTGATGATTCAAAAGACAACTGGACACTACTGCTATGAACAAAATCTGGAATTATGGACTATCTATTCCAATGGTTCCAACATTTGTCCAGCCACTTATTTTTGCCTAAAATTGCCAAAATCCATCAATGAGAGGTTTTACTGTCATCAAATCATTACAAATAAATACAATGATAGTATCTGACATATTTATTAACACACTAAGATTACACTAAATCTCAAACACCTAAAGAGAATAAACTCACCCAGTTACCATTCCTATAGCAGCAACAGCATAAAAAGTTCCAAACCAATATAAAAGTTCTCTGGATCGTGCTATCTGCAGCGACATCATTTTCTCACGCATTTCATTCTGCATATGGATCTGTCTCTCAAGCTGTGAAAACAAATAAATTAAAATTAAAATATTGCATTAAGTTGAATACTGAATTTCATGGACTAGATGAAATCAAAAGGAAAACAGAGCCTCATACCATACTAAAATGATCTGTTTGTACCTTTTAAGTACATATTCTTAATCAGCTTAAAATTTAAGCAATTTTAAAAATTCACTCAAAAATGGCTAAAAAAAAAAAAAAAAAGCTTTTTTTTTTTGTGGCAAAAAATATTGTCTTTAAAAATGGGAAATAGGTATGATGGAACTATTTGTGGAATAACGGCTTCAAACATAACATGAAAAAATCCTGCATATTGTATATTTTAAGTCATAATTAATGAAATCCAGTTACAAGAAATTCATTTTCATCTTCCCAATTAACAGTAAAATTTGAATAAAATATGAGAATAAAATTTCTATGAGCAGTTAGACTATGATATTAAAAACAAAAACTAAAATAAGAACTGTGTAAAAGAAATACATGTGCTGTTGTTGCTTTACTTACTTGAACTCTCTGAGTTTCTAGCATAAATTCCTGGTTTCTACGTGTAGCCTCCATCATGGATTTGTTGACGTTGCCCATCTTGGAAGATTAGGATGCAATTAGATCAACTATCTGAAAATAAATTTCCTATATAATTTCAGTGTGACTGTATATAAAATATTTTGGAAACACACAAAATTAAATTATAAAATACAAATGTGAACTCTCTATACATGCATAAAATTAACATACACAGTGTGAATATATTTAGTGAAAGACTAACCCATAAAAAATATGAATGATTTAGCTTGAAGCAAATAGTAAGAGGTCTCATATAACAGAGGTGTGACTCTTAGCATAAAAAAAACAGTGCAGCAAGATATTCTGGACATTGGTCGTCAACACTTTTTATGTGGTTGAACTTCAGTAGCTCTGTCCACCACTTTAACTATGTCCATTATTACAATCAGGGGAAAGGCAGGCAGGCAGGCGGGCGGGCGGGCATGCGTGTGCGTGTGTGTGTGTGTGTGTGTGTGTGTGTGTGTGTGTGTGTGTGTGTGTGTGTGTGTGTGTGTGTGTGTGTGTGTGTGTGTGTGTGTGTGTGTGTGTGTGTGTGTGTGTGTGTGTGTGTGTGTGTGTCACACAATCCATGGAGAATAGTAAGTTTATTTAACCCGTAAACGGTCCAAACGTATATATACGTTTTTTCAACATTTGAAAGTATGTAAAAAAAGTAGATTTTTTTTTTTGTACATTTGAAAACGTGTAAAAAAAACTTATCTACTTTTTTTTTTGTTATATTTGAAAATATGTAAAAAAAAGTAGATCTACTTTTGGAGCACTACGCATGTGAACATAGATCTGCTTGGACCGTTTACAGGTTAAGTACAGGTCCACATAAGTACAATCATCATACATAGTAACGTACTGATGAGGGGAAAAAGGCGAGTGATGCACTGAGGAGTCTGTGGAGATAAAGAACGTTATCCATGGAGGTGAAGAGGGAAATGTATGAGAGTAAAGTGGTACTAATGCTCTTATATGGGTGTAAAAAATGGGTGGTGAATGTTGCAACAAGGAAAAGGCTGGAAGCAGTGGAGATGTCATGTCTAAGGGCAATGTGTGGTGTGAATATTTGCAGAGAATCTGTAGCATGGAGATTAGGAGTAGGTGCAGGGTTTCTAAAAGTATTATCTAGAGGGCTGAGGAGGGGTTCTTGAGGTGGTTTGGACATTTAGAAAGGATGGAATGAAATAGTGACTTAAGAGGACGTACAAATTTCTACTGGAAAGAAGGCAGGGTAGGGATCATCCTAGGAAAGTTTGGAGGGAGAGGGGGTAAAGAGGTTTTGTGTGCGAGGGGCTTAGACTTCCAGCAAGCATGTAAGAGTGTTTAGGAACGAGTGGAGGCAAATGGTTTTTATGATTTGCTGTACTGCTGAAATGTGAGAAATATAACATTAATGAAGGGATTCAGGGAAACCTGCAAGCCAGAATTGAGTCCTGGTTGTGGGAAGTACAGTGCCTGAGCTCTGAAGCAGGGGTGGATATATGTTGCAGTTTTTGTTCTATAGTGTTGGCATGACTCTGGCAAGACAGTGATAGAGTGATGATGAGAAAGTTTCTTCTTTTTCGGATCACCCTGCCTCAGTGGGAAACAGCCGATGTGTTAATAATAAAAAAGTAACATATGCAGTACAGTGGACCCCCGCATAGCGAACGCCTTGCATAGCGAACATTCCGCATAGCGAACGCTTTGATCGCTAAAATTTTGCCCCGCATAGTAGACAAAAACCCGCTCAGCGAACTTCGTCCGAGACGCGTCCAATGTGCGGCCTCAGCCAGCCTCACATGTGCCGCCTGTCCCATTGTTTACCAGCTAGCCTCCGCGGTAACATTCAAGCATACACTCGGAATATTTCGTATTATTACAGTGTTTTCGGTTCTGTTTGTTGAAAATAAGTGACCATGGGCCCCAAGAAAGCTTCTAGTGCCAACCCTGTGGTAAAAAGGGTGAGAATTAGTATGGAAATTAAGAAAGATTTTGAAGGGTTTGGGGCTAACCCTGAGAAGCCTATGCCAGTTGTGGAATCCATTGTGCCTACTTCAAAAATTAAGGAAATGTGTGCACAGTGGGTTGAACTGCAAACCTTTATGGATGAAAATCACCCTGACACAGCTGTTGCAAGGCGTGCTGGTGACTATTTCAATGACAATGTTATGGCCATTTTAGACAAATCGTAAAGGAACGGGAGGTACAGAGCTCTATGGACAGAAAGAAGTCCAGTGACTCTGAAGCTGGTCCTAGTGGCATTAAAAGAAGAAGGGAAGTAACCCCGGAAAAGGACTTGCCTCCTCAAGTGTTAATGGAAGGGGATTCCCCTTCTAAACACTAACACACTCTCTCCCTCCTCCCATCCCATCAATCATCACCAGATCTTCAATAAAAGTAAGTGTCATGTAATTGTGCATGCCTTTTTCAGTTTGTGTGTACTAAAATTAACATTTTTTTGTGGTAAAAAAATTTTTTTTTCATACTTTTGGGTGTCTTGCACGGATTAATTTTATTTCCATTATTTCTTATGGGGAAAATTAATTCGCATAGCAAACATTTCGCATAACGACCAGCCCTCTTGCACGGATTAAGTTCGCTATGCGGGGGTCCACTGTAGTTGCAAACAAGCGACAAACGATGCAAAATAACTACAGGGGGAGTTTAATGATAGCTCTAGGCCTTTCATATTGCAATCAACACATCATCAGGAGCTTCTGATGTTGCAGAAATAGAGTAAAGGTTTAAAGATATCATCCAACTCCCCCTGTGGTTATTTTGCAAAGTAACATGTGTGTCAATTACCTAGGATGACGCAAAAAAAAAAAAGTCTTGTAATATCTTGTTATTTAAAGCCTAGCTGTAAGTTATACTAGGAATCAATCATGAACATATGTTTAAAAGTTAAAATAGCTAGGTAACTCAACTGTCTGAAAATCAGTAACAATAAAAGGAGACACAGTAGGAATAACATAACAATAAAAGGAGACACAGTAGGAATAACAAACTGAGTTATTAACACTAAAGAGAGCATCAGCTTACAATAACAGGTACACTAAAGTAATTCATCCTGGCCTAAACATTCTCTTGGATCCAAGTCCACTATCTTACAGGAGTCAAGGAAGAACTAAAAGTCATAAATAAAATTAAAAGAAACCCAAAATATTTCTTTTCTTATGCCAAATCAAAGTTAAGAACAACTTCCAGTACTGGGCCCCTATTTAGACGATATGGGTCCTTCACAGATGACAGCAAGGAAGTGAGTGAGCTACTCAAGTCCCAATATGACTCAGTTTTTAGCAAGCTGCTAACCAGATTGAGAGCCGAAGACTTAAATGAATTCTTTATGAGGGGGACACAGAATTTGGAAGACTCAAAGCTATCTGATATTATCCTGACACCAAATGACTTCAAAAAGGCGATAAATGACATGCCAATGCACTCTGCCCCAGGCCCAGACTCATGGAACTCCGTGTTCATCAAGAACTGCAAGTAGCCCCTATCATGTGCTTTTAACATCCAATGGAGAGGGAGCATGGACACAGGGGTCGTCACACAGCTGCTAAAAAAACAGATATAGCCCCACTCCACAAAGGGGGCAATAAAGTAACAGCAAAGAACAACAGACCGATAGCACTAACATCCCATATCATAAAAATCTTTTTAAGGGCTCTAAGAAGCAAGATCGCCACCCACTTAGTTACACAACCCAGGGCAACATGGGTTAGGAGCAGGTTGTTCCTGCCTGTCCCAACTATACTGGACCACTATGACAAGGTCCTGGATACTCTAGATGACAAACAATATGCAGATGTAGTATACACAGACTTTGCAGTAAAGCAATAGCAAAGAACTACAGACCGATAGCTCCAACATCCCATATCATAAAAATCTTTGAAAGGGTTCTAAGAAGCAAGATCGCCACCCACTTAGATACCCATCAGTTACACAACCCAGGGCAACATGGGTTTAGAGCAGGTAGCTCCTGCCTGTCCCAACTACTGGACCACTTTGATAAAGTCCTGGATGCTCTAAAAGATAAACAAAATGCAGATGTAGTATACACAGATTTTGCAAAAGCCTTTGGCAAATATGACCATGGTGTAATAGCGCACAAAATGCGTGATAAAGGAATAACAGGAAAAGCTGGTAGATGAATCTATATTTCCCAACAAATAGAACACAAAAAGTAGTAGTAAACAGAGTAAAGTCTGAGGCGGCTACAGTGAAAAGCTCTGTTCTACAAGGCACAGTACTTGCTCCCACTCTGTTTCTCATTCTCATATCTAACATAGACAGGGAGGTAAGCCAAAGCACCGTGTCTTCCTTTGCAGATGGCACCCGAATTTGCGTGACAGTATCCTTCATTGAAGACACTGCAAGACTCCAGGCAGACATCAACCAAATCTTTAAATGGGCCGCAGAAAACAATATGAAGTTCAATGATGAGAAATTTCAACTACTCTGATATGGAAAACATGAGGGGATTAAAAATATATTGGAGTATAAAATAAATAATGAGAACCTTCGAAACTAGGGATGCCAAGCCGATGATGACACTCTTCAAGGTCGCTTGTTTCTATCTAAGCTGGAATATTGCTGCACACTAACAGCACCTTTCAAGGAAGGTGAAACTGCTGACTCAGAAAACGTACAGAGAACCTTCACAGCACACACAACTGCGATAAAACATTTTAATTACTGGGAATGCTTGAAGCTCCTAAACCTGTACTCCCTAGAATGCAGGCAGGAGAGATACACGATTATATACACTTGGAAAATCCTAGAGGGATTAGTACCAAACTTGCACACGAAAATCACTCCCTACAAAAGCAAAAGACTCGGCAGACAATGCAACATCCCCCCCATGAAAAGCACGGGCACCACTAGCATGATAAGAGAAAACACAATAAGTGTCAGGGACCAGGACTGTTCAATTGCCTTCTAGCATACATTAGAGGGATTATCAATAGACCCCTGGCTGAACTCATGAAGGCGCTGAACAGGCACCTAAAGTCAGTACCTGACCAGCCGGGTTGTGGTTCATACGTCGGGTTGTGTTCAGCCAACAGCAACAGCCTGGTTGAT